ATTTACTCCAATTAAAGCAGGCATGTGGTAACACTAACACAAACAGTATAATTGCACACCAGCAAGTTTAAATTAAACCACAGTAAGCACACCACTGCATTCAAGCAATTTCGGTAATGTTATTTGACGAGACTCGTTCCTACGCTTAATTCGATACGCACAATTATGAACACCTATAATCTCAAGTGGAACACACAACTCGATTGACCACTGTGGCCAGAGGCCAACCTGATTCACTGTTTTACAACTACTGACTGTCCTCAGTAGCGGATAATACTAGTCTTCACTAAGGAGTGTTAGTGCAGTGTAAAGCAGAGCCGGCTGAAAAAGTTTTCAATTGATTAAACGTGTTAATAAACATATATTTCATCAACAAACGTGTTAATAAACCAATTTTTCAAAAATATCTCCAAGACAAGCAACACGGGTACGGCCTAAAAGCTTCGAAAATGCTCAAGACAAGAAGTAACAGCAGATAACATAACAGTTAACTGTTATGTTATCTGCTGTTACTTCTTGTCTTGAGCATTTTCGAAGCTTTTAGGCCGTACCCGTGTTGCTTGTCTTGGAGATATTTTTGAAAAATTGGTTTATTAACACGTTTGTTGATGAAATATATGTTTATTAACACGTTTAATCAATTGAAAACTTTTTCAGCCGGCTCTGCTTTACATTGAGTTAAACAGCCAAGCTAACTTACATCTAGCTCAGTACTACTGTTACTCGAAGATTGACATACGTTGCATGCCACTTTTCGCGCGCGAAGCGCGCGCCGCCGAAGGCGTATTTGGGATACGTAACATGTATCAACTCGAAGAAAGCGCCTTCGTGTGAAAACACAATTCGACTTTTTAATCTTATCAGAATGCCATGATATGTCACTCATATGCTGCACTTAAAATTAAGCTTTCACTTTAATTAATTAGGGTTTATTTATTTGATATCATGCCATTGTCCGATATCAATAAGCAGCTTAATTCCAGTATTAATGTAATTAAATTCTAATGATAAAATTCTGATTCGTGAATGTACAGATTCAACGAACGTCGAACTGTTATAGTGCAGTGATGAGTGAGTTCACGCACTTTTTCAATGTTGAGATTCACTATAATTGATAAGCATCATTATATTCATTAATTATAGTAGCAAACTCATATAAAGGATCTACCGATGAACACTAGGTCTCTCTTAGTTTGGGCACTGCTCTGACTAGTAGTGCGATGTATAATTATAAATACAATACTAATAGTGTACTGAGTACACGCGAAGTTTTTCTAGTACAGGGTGTACCACATTGACATAGAATGTGAATTTTTCCGCTTCTGTAATTTTTTACATAATCAAACTTCACGGGTATTTAAAAAAATATGATTTATAGTTGAGTATCTGCTCAAAATACCCACCCTTTTTGGCAAAGACGTATTTTACTTGTAGTTGTAGTTGTAGTTGTAGTTTGCTTTGAGTTTGACATTATTTATGGCCGAGGTCCGAGATTTTCAAATTCAAACAAATCTTCTTCAAAGATCTATCTCAAATTTCTGTCTGGATAATCTTTTTAAAATGATCCCTAGAATATATAATATTAATATATCTTGAAAGTTGCATAATATATAGCATTTTATAAGGCTAATTTTATAACTGTTTATTTAAATGATTATAAACTCGGTTTATTTAAATGATGATTTTCGGATCAGTTCCTAATCATAATTTCTGTCTAATCCTAATTCCTGTCTAGGACACTTTCTGCAGGTATAGCTTAATGGACTGCAGACCAACAATGTGTCTTTAAGTTTTCGCATAAATTAGATTCGTTTATTTGTCTAATTTGGTTATTGTTGTATAATGTATATTTGCCTACAATTTACTTAGTAGTAACATAGCTTAGATCATAGACAATAAAGCTATCGCATATTGACCGGGCCTCACAGAGAATCATTGCCAGTAATATTACAGAATACTCAGAGCAAGATCACGTGACGACACAGAGTACGGCAAAACGTTATTCTTGTCTGGTATGTCGCCACCAGTATCGATACAAATGGTATCGTTTAACTTTTATTAGCTTTATATTGACTACCCTATTCAAACGACCATTTGTACACAAATCACGAATAGGATCTGATATTAATGGGTTTTAAAACCGATGGTCGTGGAACCGGATATAAACGTAAGGGTAAGTCACTTAGGTGGCATACTTTTTGTTCAATATAATATCTACCAACACTAGTTTAACTCTAAACACTCCGACTACCAGCAAGACAACTATTTTAATACACAGGGTGTACCACTGGTACTATAAAAGTTATGTTAGGGGTCGTTCACATATTACGTAATCAGCTGAAGGGGGGGGGGGGGGGGGGGGGGGGGGGGTTTCCGAATGATTACGCTAGTGTAATTTTGACACAATAGCTATGTGTAAAACTGATTACGGAGGGGGGGGGGGGGGGGTAAAAATATTCAAAAAAAATGATAACATAATATGTGAACGACCCCTTAGTTTTATAGTTATACTTTTACTTGTGCATACTGCATTATAGGCGTGTGCGCCTGGCGCCAGCGACCAGCTTGTTCACTTTTACTATTAGTATTAATAACTAATTAAAATAATAACAATTAAACATGAATTACTGAATAGACTTGAACAATGTACGTACCAGCTGCCTGATGTTGCGTTTTGGATAAATAATTAGTTAGGTCGCATTTAACTTTAATTTGCAATTTGAAATGACTGCTATTTGTGAAATTATTTTCTCGTTACACCTAATTTCGTTCCCAGCTATTTCATAACCGGTAGGTCTTCATACCTACTTCATAGTAAGACTTCTAATTATCATAATGAGGTGCTGATATCTGAGCTGATGGCCTTTATTAGTAGAGGCTCTTACGGGCAAAAAGACGTGTTTTCTGCTACGAGTTTAGAGACCTAACCGCTAATTGGACACAATAGTATGATGTCTAAGGATCGATAATATGTTAAGAAGTATAAATTTGGCCTTATTAGTCACGTGCTATACCAATGCGCGTTTTAAACTTTGACAGTCTATTACTCTAAGGCAAATAAAGTAATTATATCCATATTTTGTCAGCAATAAGATCACATTATTTTCTATTTAGTGTGAAAATATGAGCTAGAACGGACATAATCTCGCTGAGTTATAGCTGTTTGAAATTTATGATGAACGCGCGGGTGCCAATTGATAACAACTAAATGCTTTTGCGCGTAGTGCGCGTCGAAAATTTGGCAAAAACGCTTGCGGAGTGACAATATTCAAACTTCGATTAAGTATATGAAGTGGGTACTTCTCGGAAAGGAAAAATTTAGGCAAACACGATGTGACTATTTTTGGGTTGATTTAATACAACTGCAAAAAATTATTCAAACTTAAAGCAAAAAAGTCAAAATTTTTACCACTTTTTTGGATTTTTACCTCAGAACAAATAGAGGGATTTGTTTTATTTTTATACAATCTTGTGCGGCTGTCTTTTAGCTATCTTTATGCAAGTTTTGCCGACATGCCAACAAAATTAACTTGCTCAAAATATCAAAAAACATGGTTTTTTGGCCTATTTTTGGCCCAAAAAATCGGTTTTTTTGCGATTTTACCCCAGAACAATCAGTCCAATCATCTTGAAACCACTTTCAATCGATTCTACGGTCAAAAATACGTCTAGTAAGGTGTATCTGGGGTCCCTAACGTATCGAGCAGACAATGCCCGTAAGAGCCTCTACTATATTTCTAATGCTTCACTTTCTAACAAATTGAGCCTTGAAGAGTCACGATTCAAAAATTTCGCCGTCAACAAATTTATTCATCCTTGCAGTTGTGCATTCCTTATATTATTGTATTTTTCGTGATATTTGACAACATTGACACTGACAGAGTATGCGGTCGATTGTCATACAGCGTGCCAAACTGCCTTAATATGAGGGCACTAATTGGGGAGTATCAGTAATTTCAAAATTGGCGCAAATTCAATTAGCCCAGAGCAGCAGTATTAGCGGAGCCAATAAATTCTTTATTTGGTTGATGTGTTAATATAAGCTAGTAGCTACTTAGCTTTCTCAGTTTGACATATTACTTTGTTCCGCAGGTATCCCGTATCTTGTCTTCAAATTATTTGTGCGACTAATCATATTAAGTTTAATTAGTCCCATTATCAACTATGCCGGACCGTCGTCGGTTTTATTCAATTTCAAGATTTAGTCGAGTATTTTAATAGCTAGTTTCAAGTTTAGTACAGTTGATCAAAGTTTAATGATGTGTTCGACCAATTCTGGTCGAGGAGCTGTAAGTTATGATTAATAACTCGCCAGATTATTTGATCTCAGATTCAAGCTACGTAAGTACGTATTGAAATAACGTTGACTGATACAAGACACCATCAAATATGTCTTTTGACCGATAAGTGGTGAATATTGATAATGACGGGCTAGTGACCGTTTGTCATCCGCTACCAGCGATTGGTATGATTTCATCCGTGTAATACTAATAATGTGAAGACTAGATGGACACGGAATGCTTTCATCTATATATCCACTAGAACTGTAAGTGAAAACTAGCCGTATGATTGCAGGCGGATAAATCTAATAAGAGTAATTAGACCTCAAAACAGTCGTGAATAATGAATATCGTAAGTACTCAGAAAAGTTTTCACAGACAAGTCATCATTTTTGGTGAGCGTAATTTTTATATCTCTGACGAATAATGACCTGGCTGTAATCTCAAGATACGGGATACCTCCGCTGTAATCTCCACTTATAATCTGATACCTTTAATATTTATCTTAGTTTCTTCGATGGACGGTTGAATATTAGTGTGGTAAGATTAGCGCTTAAAAGCACTAATGAAATCCTTGTTTGAATGATTCATGATTAAAAACTTTTTGCACTTTGTCGAATGTCGGTCAATATTGTTAATTTTCTTGTGTATCCTTCCGTTGAAACTATTGTCACTCACAATCATTTCTTTCCTAAATATTGAAGTGAAATAATTTCTTAGCTTAAAAGCATCAGAGGAAACCTTGGCAAGAAATGCTATCGTGTTTCTTTCTGGCGATCGTAGGAGCGGTGACAGTTCAGTCTGGAGATGCTATTGGTGAGTACATTCCACATTCCAGTATGCAGTATACATTCCAGTATGCAGTATACATTCCAGTATGCAGTATACATTCCAGTATATTAATAAACTTTTGAGGTTGGACTTTCCAGTTTTTATAGATATTCAATATTCATATAATGTAAGTGCCAATTTTAATTTTTACTATAAATAAGCGATGCTTCAAATAGAAAGTTATAGTAGGTATGAGGTATTTTCAATTTATTTTTCTTACACATTAAATTGTACGAGGCTGACAGCACAACACATTCAATGACACGGTTATTATTGTCATGTTTGTGATCTATACCTTACATATTATTATCATGTAATAATACATCTACACCATCCCATACCAGCCTGGTCACTTACATTATCAAAACCCGCTAACCAGTTTTCATACTTCAGCCTACACGTTAGAGAAACCAAACGGAGACAATATGAACGGTTCAGGATGGCAGATAAGCAGGGTGGTAATTTCCAAGGACAACAAGGAGAATACTGTTTGTGGAGGCAGAATGGACAATGCCACCATCTTAGTGCTCTGCTCGTGAGTGGTCATTTGTTAATTTATAAACGTACGGGGGGGGGGGTAAAAATGTTCCAAAAAATGATTACGTAATATGTGAACGACTCCATATTGCTTGGTGAAAAAGTTGAGAGTCGATTTTAGCTTATTTCTCTTCATTTCACATGAGAAATGTTTGCTGGTGACAAGGCTTCGGCAATGCCACTACAAATACCCAGGATCAGACTATCACACAAATTATTTAGGGTTGACTGACCTAATCACATTTTATCGTTTTCAAAGGTTATTATATTTAAAATAGGCTTAAATGACGATCATAAAAAAGACAGCAAATGACTTCACTAAGTTAACTTAAAACAAAGAATTAAAACTTTTGCTCAAAGATCAAAGCTCGCCACACCATGAGCATCCCTCCTCCCACCACAGAATGAAAGGGTATATGAAGTACGATCAGCTGGATCCCGACGAGAGTTTGACCTGGTCACGTGACCTCAGTATCGGATACTCAGCCAAGTGCACCAAGTGGGACGACTTGGATAGCTGTACCATCACCGATAATACCGCCTGTACCAAGCTACTTGTCATTAATTGCACGTGTGAGTAATGAGTATGTACACAGTTGGGTTTTTACGTATTGGAGATATTAGACTTGCGGTTGAAGATTTATAGAATATAGAATGTGTAACAATTTAGTGTGAGAATGGCTGCCCACTGCCCAGCTGTTCTGAATAACTTAAATAAAATAACTTTCCACATTCCAGTATATTAATAAACTTTTGAGGTTGGATTTTCCAGTTTTTATAGATATTCAATATTCATATAACGTAAGTGCCAATTTTACTATAAATAAGCGATGCTTCAAATAGAAAGTTAGAGTAGGTATGAGGTATTTTCAATTTATTTTTCTTACACATTAAATTGTACGAGGCTGACAGCACAACACATTCGATGGCACGGTTAATGTTTGAAACAGCAATATTAAGACAAAGCTTATTGTTTACTGATAATTTAATGATCCTTAATAATTTATAACTTCTTTCTAATTCGGTCACACGAAACCTTTTTTTACTAAGTAGCAAAAATTTTGGAACTTCTCGACAAATTAAAGCTGACAAGGTAAAAATTGAGTTTAAATTTTAGCCCAGAAACGAAGCCCCAAAAGTTGGTTACCGCCATATAACCGTTGCAATAATGTGTGCTCCTTTCAGCGCACTACGAGATGGTATTAGGGGGAGGTGTGTCCACTAACGGTATGCTGATTCCCGCCATCCTTATACCTGTGTGTATTCTCTACGTGATAGTTCTGTGTTACCTCGAAAGTGTAGATGTCAGGTTAGTTCTGTGTTACCTCGAGAGTGTCGATGTCAGGTTAGTTCTGTGTTACCTCGAGAGTGAAGATGTCAGGTTAGTTCTGTGTTACCTCGAGAGTGAAGATGTCAGGTTAGTTCTGTGTTACCTCGAGAGTGAAGATGTCAGGTTAGTTCTGTGTTACCTCGAGAGTGAAGATGTCAGGTTAGTTCTGTGTTACCTCGAGAGTGAAGATGTCAGGTTAGTTCTGTGTTACCTCGAGAGTGAAGATGTCAGGTTAGTTCTGTGTTACCTCGAGAGTGAAGATGTCAGGTTAGTTCTGTGTTACCTCGAGAGTGAAGATGTCAGGTTAGTTCTGTGTTACCTCGAGAGTGAAGATGTCAGGTTAGTTCTGTGTTACCTCGAGAGTGAAGATGTCAGGTTTGTTATATTCACACTACAGTTACTTAAATACCTACACTACAGCTGCCAAGAGTGCGGTTTTCACTTAATTTAACACTTGGTCCAAACCACAATGTTTAGATAAAATACCGCTATAGCAACATTTTTAAATTGGGTATCACCTTGAATTCCTGACAAACAAAAAGTTTGAATTTGGTCATCTGCTACTAATAAACCTCAGAGATATTGGCCGGGCTATTGGGCCTACTTCGATTAAAAGGACTTGGCAAATACAATCTTGTGAAGTAATATTCTGTAATCTTAACGTCATTTTCAGGAAGACAGAAAAAGCCAGGAAACAAACTCTGAAAGGAGAGCCAGCCAAAACGAACAAGAGCAAAGAGGGATCGGTGTGAAGATCACACATCACATGGAACTCATCTGAATAAGAGTGATTATCACACTTAAAGCTGAAGTGAGATCTCAAGCTGATCTATCTCTACAGTAGTTAGCATTGAGGGACCTGATGTATTTCAGCTCTGACTCTCTGAGAGTTATATACCAAACATGACTGGGAGAGCACAAGAGAGACGATGAAACTTTTGTATAGGGGTTACTAAAACTTTCAGTGGAGTTCGCCACGTTTTCATGGCAAAAGTTAACTGTCTGATGCTTGCCAAGAAGTGTTTTATTCAAATGATGCTAGAGAGGGGTTGTTAATTTTTGATTTTTACAGGATAAAATGATATAACTTTTTGGATTAATGGGCTTACAATGAAATCATTAGTATTTCCAAATATTAAGTACAAAAATACATACTTTACGAGATCTAGGATATATAACTTGATCAATTCAATCATATTATGTACATTTTAATAGTGGAAATGGGCGTTTGGTTAACGCTGAAATTATATAACTCAAAACTAACAATTTCTAAAACTCCTATATTAATAGTCTCAACAAGTTGATTGTGGTTGGTTCATATCAGTTCATATCAGTTCGTGGATTTCAGTTATTGTCCATTCTTAAAAAACAATCCAAATTTGTATCTTCTTCTCCTCCGTTAGTAATCAATACCAAAGATTGAAATTTGTTACGTGTCAAAACCTCTTCCTTTACTAAAAATTATACATTAAAAATCTCAAACAGTAAACGTTTAAACATATTTTTAACATTATTAAAGGTTTAAGATATTTCAATAATTGCTGACCAACGCCTAAAAATAAATGCTAAGCAAAATGTAACAATCGGACTATTATCAAGCTGGACCCCCCTCCCCCCCCCCCCCCCCCCCCCATAATCGGACGATTATCAGGTTGGACCCCCCTCCCGCTACACTACTGCAAAGAGTACGGTTGGACCCCCGCCCCCCCCCCCCCCCAGCAATCGGACTATTATCAGGCTGGACCCCCCCCCCCCGCTACACTACTGCCAAGAGTACGATTGGACCCCCCTCCCCCCAGCAATCGGACTATTATCAGGCTGGACCCCCCCCCCCGCTACACTACTGCCAAGAGTACGGTTGGACCCCCCTCCCCCCAGCAATCGGACTATTATCAGGCTGGACCCCCCCCCCCCGCTACACTACTGCCAATAGTACGGTTGTACCCCCCCCCCCCCCCCCTGTCCCCAGCAATCGAACATTATTATCAGGCTGGACCCCCCCCCCCCCCGCAATCGGACTATTATCAGGCTGGACCCCCCCTCCCTTAAACAATAAATCGGACTATTAAACAATAAATAGCACTCATTATCAACACTATTTTTTGCCTTTTAACATTTTAGTTTTAACTGTTAAATTTATCGGGTACAATTTTCAAACATTGTAGCCCACCAGCTAATTATCAAATATTTTGCATTTTTGAAAATGTTTCGTTTAAGCGCAACTCGATAACATGCTGCTAGTATATTAGTCATTAGAAAACATATCTATTACACAGGGTACATCGCTAATTCGGCGCTTCACAATTAACCAAGAAACATTACAAACTTGTGCTTTTTCAATATATAATCGCTACGAAGTGACCCTTGTAATCGCTAATAATGATAATGATCCGTGGTGACGACTCTTATAAAGCGGAGCACAAACAAAGTGATTAAATTGTACTATAATGATTAACATTATCACCTGCATATTATTTGCATTGAGTAAAAACATAAAATAAAAGAAGACCTCTCTAAGAACCTAAACATAGCTCAAACCTACGCGGCTCTTAAATTCTTCTGTGAACAATTCCTAAATGTTGAGCGGTAAGGGACGTTCTCACTTCTCACATACTACGACACGTGACGTGTAACGCGTGATAGGTCACGCTAAAACGTAAAATGTAACGCGTGATACATCACATGCTGTAACGCGCGAGAAAGATAACGCGTGAGAAATCGTACCAAACACAGTGCCAACACACCATTAAGTGTAGAAAATTAACGTTAAAACATCCGGGGCAGACACGGTGGATCAATAAAATAATTTACAAAGAATTCAACATACAATATATAATATGAAACAATAGAATAAGTCTCCAAACAATCGCCACATGCTCACATAAGTGCACATGCAGTATGCACGTTATGCCGTGCACACTGCACGCGTACATGCACACAAGCACGTGGCAATTATACGGGATTATTGTCTCCTCATTTCTCGTTTTCTCTTTCCCTTCAAGGAGGACCGGGTGGTGTAAAAGGGGTGTGAACCTAATAAAACTAGATGTTGCAAGTCAGAAGAGTGTGTCACTGTCTTGTCAAGGGTCGTTTAGCTCTAGGTGCCGATATCTAAAGTGTAATTAATGTTAGTTGTCAGTATGTGAAATATATTTAGAGAGGGTGGTAGTAGGAAGAGTACTACACATATCATGCTTCATTCATTTGGCATCTGCATGCTGTCCCTCCCGGACCATTCGGAGACAGCCAGACACTTAATGTGAGACACATTGGTACTGAGACATTGGTATGGAAACAGTTGTGGTGTGCAACGACACATGTTGCTTGAGACATTTTGAAATAGTGTTGGACGAGACATCATGTTTTAGTGTTAAGAGAGACATTTTAGAAATGGTAAAATATTGCTGGAGACGTCATTTTGGCATTACAGATACTTGCTGGAGAGGTGAGATATTTTAAAAACCATGATGTTGAACATGTATTGCTTTAGAGGTGTTGTTTCTCGATAAAACAATAAGATGTTAAGTTTGATATAGTTTGAGAAACAATATTCCGAGAGATAAGATATTGCTTTAGACTGGGAACATGTAATAAGGTAAGTGTGTCAGACTGGGAACATGTAATAAGGTTAGTGTGTGAAAGAAAACGAAACTTCTCCACCGTATAATAATTGTAACTTTCTGCAGAACGATTATATGTACGCATCAACCCAATTGAAACAACTAAACTATACAATTAGACATATTATTCTACCAATTATAACGGCAAGCAGCATATCCCTGATTGGCAAGATTCATCAGCCGTGTGTGTATGCGAATTAGTGAGGCAAGCACATACTAATTATACTTAACAATTATGATTTATACATGCATATTGCATATAATTAGAGATTAGCATGTCAATTATCATGTACGAAATACGACGAGTAAATATATACATGATGCGACCAGATATCCCTACATTCATGTTTCCTGTTTCAGTGCATTTAGTCAGAGCAAGGCAGAGAGTTGGCGGGCAAAACAGTCATGGACTGAGTATCACAAGATACGCGACGAGCAAGTGTTTTTTATTCTCAAAGTGTCTTATAAAGTGTTTAAATAAGTCCGGGGAGATAGCATGCAGATAATTAGAAGGAAGCACGATACGAGCAATACTCACGTTAGTCGGGGTGCGCGGCGCGGCCCGGGGAGTGGGCACGCGCTCACTACACCGTCGTCTCGTACACCGGGGTAAAGTGGTTCGTGTTACGCACCACTATCTGTGATGAGATTGATGTTGAGTTAAAACTTACCCCCGCTGTCCTACTTTCTCTCGGTTATAATCAAACATTTTAGTAGAGATCGGGTATTGTCCTGTGTCCACAAATGTTGGAATGTTTGAGGGGAATGTTGATGATAAATGTTTGCTCATTAAACAAATGTGTGTGTACCAATTGATGAATTGATCTGATTAGCGTTAGAATGAGTTGCTGATGACACTAGATAATATGATGGACTTGTGCGACATCTGGTCACCCCCTTGCAATACCGATATCACAATTCAAATATGTTCACACATGACCTGTGAGTGCTAATATGACCTTCTCCTCCGAGTCCAAACCTTCCATAATTACTAATTAAAAATTCGGTAAAACCTGACTCGACGACGTAGACAGGCCGCAGGGCGAGTTGGCGGCACTTGAGCATCTCGGATTGGTTACTAAACGGCAACCTTTGTTCTATAAGAATAAACACTAAATATCACAATGAAGTCATGTGCATGCTGGGCAAGGTGTTGGTCCCCCCGTTATTCATGTCACGGTTCTTTTTCTTCTTTTTAACCTTTTTATTAGAAGGAAGAGTGGATAAAGACTCGGAAGGTTTTAGTTCTTCGATAATCTTCTCTTTGGGAAGATGTGACATTCGTTGTCTCCGGAGATCTAAAAGAACCTCCGAAAGATTGTCTATAATCTTCTCCTCGTCCAACTGAAATTAATGTTTCTCATTAAGTAAGAACTTTAAAAACAACAAAAATTAGTCTCTCATAAATTAGGCTCCCATTATATTAAATATCAAGCTCTGCTGAAAATGGGTTTGCCGCAATGATTGTTGTCAGACAAAAATAATTTGTCAGCTTAGAATCTTTAGAAAACAATCAGGTTTTTAGCAACTTCATATACGTCAAGTTGCACAGCAATTTATAAGCGGCGAAAAGTTAGAAACGAATGAGTTTTTTAAAAAAGCAACTCACTTGACTTTCACACAATCGACACAAAAAGTCGTTGAGCTGTTCGTCGTTTTGCTTGATGAGAGTTTTTTTGAAAGTTCTTAATATAGCTATGGCCATGGCAGTTTCTATTTCCTCTCCTTCAAGCAGAAAGATATCCCAAACTCGGAGCGCTAGAGAGAATGGTAGTTTGTCGAGATAACATTGCAAAAACCATTTAGTGGCATACAAAGTCGGTTCGTATTGAAGCTTCTTTAAGTGCTTGTGTACCGAGGGAATGAACTTTTTTCTAAGAACCATGTGATGATCGAGGCATCTGAAGAGCTTGGGGAGTCGAGGTGTAAAGAAGTCGTTCATTTTGTAACGTTCCCCACGTAACAGAGAGGTCAGAGCCCAGAACGCGTCTTCTTCTTCGTGAAGGTACATGAGCATTAGAGCCACTACATTGGCCATACCCTGACAGTAACCAACTTCCTTGTTGAACATGGAGTATCCTGCCAAGACGTAGAATAGCTTCTGTTGCCTGATAGGGTAGTTTGGTCTCAAATGTCCCTTGAATAATGAATACAGACACAAATTTGTAAACCAATATTAAAAGGCCAAAAGGTTGCCAAAACATGGCAGCAATGCTCACTTGGGTTCGGAATCGCATGATTTTATGAACAAGATGCTTTACGGGTTGACGGTGGTTTTTGTGAATGCATTCTGCTTGTAAATCATGTGGCATCTCAAAATAAAGTCTCAATCTTCATCAGTTGAAGGTTCACTCACATGACGCCATATTTCAATTGGAACATCTCGTGATTTCTGTACGTCCGATGAACATCTAGATCAATCTGTCTGATATCGGGGGATTTTCGTCGTGCTTTCTCCTTCATTCTCTAGAAAGGTGTTTTAATTGGATGAATCGTAAGGAAGTATTTAAGTTTTAATTCCAGAGACTGTGCACTTTACACTGTAATACTACTTAAACTACTATCTTCGGTGAAATAGAATGGAACGAACTATGAACAATTATAATAAATACTTCCGGTGCTCAAACTTACCTCATACATATTGGGACCGTGTGTCTTTTCGTTCGATTGTTTAATCTCCCTAATCCTAAGCATGAGGGGCCACACCTGTCCCCGCAGAGAATCAGGGCACCCCTTCCAGATCCGAGATTTAAGATCTTCGGGTACTCGATTGGTCTCTTGCCAATGTTTCACCATCCGTAGCCATTTCTTCTCCTTTATCTGCTTCTTCTCGAGCGACTTTTTGTCCAACGGCTCCATGGGAATAGGCTTTTCACTGTATTTTGGTTATTGTTAGTCCAGAAGTGGTGACGAAAATAAATGCAATAACAAACTTTAATTCTACGTTTGATGCAAAAAATACTGGCGTGAACGTTGCGTTCGTATAGAACAAAAATATTCGCGCGTTCCATAAAAATATTTCAGATCATAGACTTCGTAACGCAGGCTTTGCTCTGTACGGGATATTATGTAGACGAACCGGATTACCAACATTCAAAAACGTAACAAAAAAGAGAGAACTTACTGGATGAAACCATACCGATCTTTCTTCATGTAATGTGAGAAGTTTGGTTCCTCCCATGGCTCGATATCATCTGTTCTGCTACGACCCTGAAACAATTACAATTCTACCAAATGAGATAAAAATAGAAACAGAATAAACAGATGCTCAACTGACGATTAGATATTGAGTGTGGAGTGCCTTTTCACAGATATTTTGATGACAATTCATGATAGTCGAAATACCCCGCTTCATTAGACTTAGCAAAGAAAAAAACAATGGATCCATGGCTTATAAACAATAAACGTTAAACAATGGCTATAAATAAATACCTATTCTTGTACTAATACTTTCTTAAGTCTCAATAATAGCCACTTCTCAAAGCACGTGTCTCAAGACTGCTGGTTAACTGTTTAAAATGAAATGTTTTAAATTAGGCAGTTACCTGAGTGTATCGTTCAAATATACGTTCCCTCTCCTCAGCCCTTTCCCTTTCCCTTTCAGCGTCGTAGGAATTGGAATCGAAGTTAGCGCGCGCCAACAGCGCAGGATCTGAAATATCGTGCGATTTAGAAACTCAGAGGTAACTTTTCATATTATATGCATAATATGATATATTGTGTCATGTTTGAAGATTTAAGAGCCATGATTGTGCAATGTCCGCCACTGAAAAGCAAGCTCTTTTGATGAATGACTTTGATGATGAGATAAGGCGTGGTCCACAAAAGCCCCAACAATACGTCTTTATTTTGAATTTTGTTTTTATGAGTTCAGACTTTTTACAACAGACTTGACGCACATGCGATATCCATGACGCAAAAATTTTAAGTATTTTGAATGGGGCATTAGGTGACGTTTCTGGGGCAGAATTTTTATTGAGCCCGTTTAGGTGACGTTAGTGAAATAAAGGTGAAATAAAGGTGAAATAAAGGTGAAATAAAGGTGAAATAAAGGTGAAATAAATGTGAAATAAAGGTGAAATAAAGGTGAAATAAAGGCAACAGAGCTATAATTGTAGAACAGCAATAGGAGGTGCAGTACCAAGTTGTATTATGGAGTCAATATATGAAGTTCTAACTTCAGAGTTAGCCAACAAGGGGCTGAAGTGTGGCTTGCTAAATAGGTACTACTACTACTAGTGCTAGGTAGGCGATACACACAGTTAAATAACGCTTCATCATACGATGCCCAATGTACACGAGTATCTTGCTAGTAAAGTGGCCCATTTGTTATTGTATCTTAAGATGTAAGCTGTAGGATGACAGGAATAAAGATGCGTTTTAAAATCTGTATAACTAAAGTTATACATTTAAGACTTAAAGACTTAACCACAGTTAAGACACATTAAGACACACATTTCGAGCTGAATATGATTTAATGTTTGTATTGATAATCATCTCATAGTGTGGTCAAAGGTTTTGAATTTATACTGTAAAAACAATTTTTGTGTATGAAACGTGAAATGCATGACCCGTTGGAATTCCAGTTATGCAACTCCAGTTGAAAGTTGGCACACATAATATAATAAACGTTCTTAATTAATCTAATTTTAACTTATTCCACCCTAATATTATTCACCACGTGACTCCCAAACATTAGCAGATGAAGCAGAGCCCAAGGACCAGGTTGAGCGGCGCTTATACCGGGTGTCTATAAAAACATTGCCGGAATGCGGCAAACAGTCCAAATCTTCGTTATCTAAATCCTCTTCATCAGTCCAGCTTATCTGACTCATCCCTCCATCATGCTCCCCCAGCTACACTGCTCTCGTGACTAGCGGGGTGTTGTGGGGTCACGTGTTTATATCACGTGATAAGAGCTCATCTCTAGGTCAGGTTCATGTTAAGGGAAGCCAGTGGGGAGGGTAGTGGGTGTTGCAGGGTGTTAGTGGGTGTTGCAGGGTGTTAGTAGTGGGTGTTGCAGGGTGTTAGTGGGTGTTTGTAGTGGGTGTTGTAGGGTGTTAGTGGGTGTTGCAGGGTGTTAGTAGTGGGTGTTGTAGGGTGTTAGTGGGTGTTGCAGGGTGTTAGTGGGTGTTGCAGGGTGTTAGTGGGTGTTAGTATTGGGTGTTGTAGGGTGTTAGTGGGTGTTGCAGGGTGTTAGTGGGTGTTGCAGGGTTGCAGGGTGTTGCAGGGTGTTGCATGGTGTTAGTGGGTGTTGCAGGGTGTTAGTAGTGGGTGTTGCAGGGTGTTAGTAGTGGGTGTTGTAGGGTGTTAGTGGGTGTTGCAGGGTGTTAGTGGGTGTTGCAGGGTGTTAGTGGGTGTTGCAGGGTGTTAGTGGGTGTTAGTAGTGGGTGTTGTAGGGTGTTAGTGGGTGTTGCAGGGTGTTAGTAGTGGGTGTTGTAGGGTGTTAGTGGGTGTTGCAGGGTGTTAGTGGGTGTTAGTATTGGGTGTTGTAGGGTGTTAGTGGGTGTTGCAGGGTGTTAGTGGGTGTTGCAGGGTGTTAGTAGTGGGTGTTGCAGGGTGTTAGTGGGTGTTGCAGGGTGTTAGTGGGTGTTAGTAGTGGGTGTTGTAGGGTGTTAGTGGGTGTTGCAGGGTGTTAGTAGTGGGTGTTGCAGGGTGTTAGTGGGTGTTGCAGGGTGTTAGTAATGGGTGTTGCAGGGTGTTGCAGGGTGTTAGTGGGTGTTGCAGGGTGTTAGTAGTGGGTGTTTCAGGGTGTAAGTGGGTGTTGCAGGGTGTTAGTAGTGGGTGTTGCAGGGTGTTAGTGGGTGTTGCAGGGTGTTAGTAGTGGGTGTTGCAGGGTGTTAGTGGTGGGTGTTGCAGGGTGTTAGTAGTGGGTACGGTGTTGTAGGGTGTTAGTGGGTGTTGCAGGGTGTTAGTAGTGGGTGTTGCAGGGTGTTAGTAGTGGGTGTTGCAGGGTGTTAGTGGGTGTTGCAGGGTGTTAGTGGGTGTTGCAGGGTGTTGCAGGGTGTTGCTGGGTGTTGCAGGGTGTTAGTAGTGGGTGTTGCAGGGTGTCAGTGGGTGTTGCAGGGTGTTAGTGGGTGTTGCAGGGTGTTAGTGGGTGTTGCAGGGTGTTAGTGGGTGTTGCAGGGTGTTATTGGGTGTTGCAGGGTGTTAGTGCTGCTCTACGGATCAGAAACCTGGACACTGACAAAGGCTCAAGAGAAAAGTTTGGACGGGACATACACAAAGATGTTGCGTATGGTGCTGGGTATCTCATGGAAGGACAAGGTCAGCAATATAACTTTGTATGGTAGCCTCCCAAGGCTGTCAAACAAGTTACGAAGCAGGAGATTAAAAATGGCGGGACACTGCATCCGACATCCTGAGCTACTTGCCAGTGATTTAGTCTTATGGGAACCTACGCACGGTAGAGCACAGCAAGGCCGACCAAGACAAAGCTACTTGTCTATGTTACTGAAGGAAGTTGGGACAAACTCTAAAGAGGAACTGCGAACCCTGATGCGGGACAGGGATATATGGAGGGGGTTTTCTGGCGTAGATCGGACTTAGCTCCGACATAGTAGTAGTAGTAGTAGGGTGTTAGTGGGTGTTGCAGGGTGTTAGTGGGTGTTGCAGGGTGTTAGTGGGTGTTGCAGGGTGTTAGTGGGTGTTGCAGGGTGTTAGGCCAATTAATTGTTGTAATCTGCAGACTGCGTATTATAAACTGTGAACATTTCGGGCTGCACTCTCGAAATATTATGAAATATAACATTATGCAGAAAAGAAAAGAACTGTAGGTGTAAACCGATTTTTTTAAAAGGTAGAAAGAAGAAAAGATTCAGTCCTCTAAAACGGTAACAAGATTACAAGAGGTGTGTACAGTAATAACAACGCTCATTATATGTACAAAGAGCAGGTAGTATCGAGCGAGCAGTGTTTTCTTTACTCCTGACACAGGAAGCACCCATTCTACTGCCTAGTTACAATTAAAATCACGTGACGTTGCCTAGTTACAGTTAAAAGGCACGTGACCAACTGACTTGTACATGGCTCACGTGACAGCTTGTTATGTATACATTCGGCCAGATCGTTGACAACAACAAATATTATACCATTTACCTTAATTTGCTGTTATGTCAAAATGTGACTAAGAATGAAATAGCGTTGAGTAAATTCAAGTGACGGGTTTTGCCGGAATCAAAATAGAATATATGAGCAAATTAGGTGTAATAATAATAATTACATAATATTGTTATACATGTGTTTTGTAGAGTGTGAATTGAGTATTTCGTTCCCAAAAACAGTACATGGAATATCCATAAATAATTGATGCATAGTGAGCATACTGCTCAGAACAATCAGGAGGAGAATTCACGCTTTCCTCAACAATCGACACCCAATACACTATATACCCGTACATTTCTTCTCCTCAAAACTGTAAATTACGAACCTATACCCCGGAAAATACTTTAAATTCCGCGGAGTGCAGGGCAATACCAAGTTGGACTTAATAGGAAAATTGCGTTTCGATAGCTTTCTAGGTGACCTAACATATTAAGTGAGCCAAAAGCGAACTTTTTAAATAGGCATAAAGGAAGACGTTAATATAAAAAGGTGTCCCCTGTGATGAAACTGAACTTTTGAAATAGACTAATTCACCGTCTTTACATATTTTCAATGATTTGATCGAGTCATAATGTTTTGCATTGTGTTTGGCCTACATCCCAATACACTTGTTCTGAAAATAGGAGCTCTAGCTACTCAGATATCAAGCAGAACGAGTTTATTCATTACGTGGGATCAGATGATTGGGCTGACACTAGATCCACCCATGTGAATCGTGCAGAAAGTCCAATTAAGTTTTTGCAGTGTAGCACATAATCACATGATTACCCAATCAATTTAGCTACCGAGATAAATGAATTGCTTGATAACTTCGTCATTTCAAATCCGTTTCACGTCATCTTTCCAGACCATATTCCACATTTAATGACCTATTGCAAGTGCAACATGTAAAAATGAAGTTTCTAGCATGTTCACAAACACGAATATGCGCAATTCGATGTTGAATGGGTGTGTCCTCGAAAAATGGAATTTTTAAATTTTGGCGACAGAATCGTCAAATGAGTAGTTACAGTATGCCATCTGAAAAGTTACAAGTCTCAAGTATGGAACATTGGCTAATGGATATTTTATAAGATACAACGTATGTATTTTGTATACTGACTCCCTCCCCCCTCCCCCTTCTCAGCCCTTTAGAGTATAAGGGCCTACTTTCTGGAGAGAGATTTGTATGGGGTTACTTTCTCACGTCATTACATCATATTAAATAAGTTAAATCACAGCAGTTGTGATGTTGTGTTATGTGTGTGTTGTGATGTTGTTCAGGGTAGGGAGGCAGTTATGTAGTGTTATTGTTTAATGTTCCGATGTAATCATCATATTATCATCAGGTCCACAATTCTAACTTATTGAGGATTCTATCTAACCCTATTGCACTACTATATTATTATGTACATTTTATATTTGAATATTAATTCACCTTGCACTGCACAGGACGCTCTCTTCCTAAAAATACACAAAATAATGGCAGCAGTCGGGAGAAATATTCGAATTAATTGAAGAAGGCTAACGATATTAATATGACATTCCTGAGTTGTGGAATGCACTAAC